CCGGCATCCAGTTTTTGTTAAACTTGGCCCCATTCTCTACAACAGCTCAAAACAAACAAAAACCATTAACACATTCTAACGTTGAGATAACAAAAGTTAATATATTTGAGTCCAGCCAGATTTGTCAATCTGGGCTGACAGGAACACTAGAATGAAAGCAGCAACCATGTTTATCTAGTTCATAATTGAATCCCCAGTATCTACAATAGTGCTTGATGCTAATAAGTACCAGTTAATATTTATTTAATAAATATGCCTTCTATGCCAGACCTATGAGCTGACTTCAAGGGTCCCTTTTAATAACATCCCTCTTAAAACCGAAAAAGTTCATATTAAGACACTGCAAGTGTCTGCCAGGCCTACGCCCCTTGCTCAGCTATAACACCAGCAGGACTGCCAAGGAATAGACAGGGAATCTTGTTTAGCTTTCCTCAAGAGAACTCTGAGTAAAGATCCAGCACAACTAACCTTAAGAACAGAAATAAACCCAGCAATGAAGGAGAAAATCCACCCAGCTTCTCCATTCCCTTCACCCAGAAAATGTGCAAATCCACAATTAACTTACCAAGTGTCGGATCCCATTCCAGGTATGATACATGAGAGGGAAGACGAGTGCAAACTTGGCTGTGTGGATTAGCGCTGGCCCCAGACACAGAGACTTCACCAGTTCCAAATACGACTCAAAGTTCCCAGGGAGCAACAGGGCGGACAAGCCAAAAAGAGAGACCCCTGAGGAGAAAACCAAGTGTTCCATCACAACTGCCCACCAGTTACAACTTATGTAATGCATAAAACTGGGTTCTATTCCAGCTCCTAGCACTTTATACAATTCTAAACAATTCTGAAATGGAAAAGATTTAAACTCACGTTCAAGTTTACGGCAGGTTGCGCTCTAACCAACTGAGCTAACCAGCGAGCCTGTGGTAGAAATTTGGATGATTTAAATTTTTTTCTCTTTTCCCTGGACTGAATATGCTGTTTTTACTTTTTCTTACTGAGATGATGATGTAGATACAGGAAAGGGTGACTTCTAAAGTGGCAGGTGAGGGCTGGCCGGTTAGCTCAGTTGGTTAGAGCACATCCTTAAAACACCAAAGTCACAGATTCAGATCTCCATACTGGCCAGCTGCCAAAAAATGGAAAATAAATAAATCAACTGGCAGGTGAGGTTTTTATAGACAGGGAATGGTGAAAAGAGGAATAATGTACTGAAATATATGGCACATTTAGATTATGGCAATATCCCATGTAGCCTATCTCCTGCCGTAAACTTGAACGTGAGTTTAAATCTTTTCCATTTCAGAATTGTTTAGAATTGTA